GGCTTAAGGGACACGGAGAGGGGGGTTATTCAATTCCAAACAATTTTCCGGATGCAGCAGTTGGAGGGGAATGGCCTGGCTTGCTTGTCTTGGTGGAGAGATCCAGCACCAAGAGCTTGCCAAGTTCTGGTTCTCGGATATCCCAGTAAGAACTGGAATGGTTTGGGCGGGAAGGGAGATGAAAGATCACGGAATTCCAACCCCCTGCCATGGGCAGGGACACCTCCCACTACCCCAGGTTGCTCCATCGTGGCCTTGGAAGCTTCCAGGGATGGGGCAGCCCCGGCTTCCCTGGGAATTCCATTCCAGCCCCTCACCATCCTCACAGAAAGAATTTATTCCTAATATCTCTTCCTAATATCCTCACAGTAATTTGGATGTAATGAGGATATTCCCAACATCCTCACAGTAATTTATTCCTAATGTCTCTTCCCTCTTTAGGTGGGAAAAGACCCCCCCCCACACACAAGGTCATCGAGTCCAACCCAATTAACACTGGGGATGACATTCCCTTAATGAAGGAACCTGCTTCCCTCCAGGAACTGCCGCCTTTCCCAAAGGATGGAGGGACTTGACCCCCTCAGGGGATTTGGGAATGCCAAGTTGAAGCTTTCTCCCTAAATCCTGCATTAATTCCCGAGGAAGCCAGAGCAGGTTGGTGCCTGCAGTTGGACTCCCAGCCCACGGGGTGGGTCCAAGGCCTGATCCACTCACTTGTCCTGGAATCCCACGAGACATCCAAGGAAGTAACTTCATAAATTATGGATCGTAATGGGCATTTTTGATGGAAACCTGATAAAAAAACCTGCTCTTTGAGGGGGGGGAGCACACAGGGAGGAGAACACCAGAGGGAGAAGAGTCCCCAATATCGCCACTAAATCCCAAATTACCCCTTTCCTTCTTGGGAGCTGCTCCACCCAGGACTTCCCAGCTTTTCCCTGTTCCCAGGGAAAGGGGGAGGAAAGGCAGAACGAGGGGGAAGATTTACTCCCGGCCTAAATTATTCACCAGCAAAAAAAAAGGGGAGCGTGGGTCTTTAACGAGCGAGGTTAACGTTTTCCCCCCCTCGATTCCCGGGAATATCATCAACTCTCCGGGGTCCATTTGAGGACTTTTCCGCTCGCAGCAGCGAAAAGGCGCCGACTCAGCACTTTCCCCTCCTTTCCCCCCCCCCACATTATTTAGAGAATAAAATTAACCCTCGGCAGCCCAGGCTGGTGGTTTTAACTCCTCCCCAGTGGAAATCTGGCCCTCTCAGCAGTTTCTGCCCCGTCTGTAATTCCGGGCTGCTATCCATCATCCCGAGGAGAGCGGTTCCCGAAGTGACGCCGTAAGCACTTTTCCTAATAGAAGAAATATTCCAACTATCTCCTTGATATTTTCATTTAAATTGCAATAGTTTTAGAAATAATTGGCAGGCCCCACACCCCCCCCCCACCCCCTTTTCCCCCCCTCCTTTTGCTGGAGGGGAGGAGGGCGGGATTCCCGCGTTTTCCGGATCCCGGGGAATCGTTTTATCCCACGCTCCGTCCCCTTCTTTCCACGAGAAGGAATTAAGCCCAGACTAATTTATTAGAGCCTCCTTTCACTGCTGCTGATCAGCTGCTTGCCCTAAAACTCTCCCTTTTGGAGTTTTTTTTCCCCCCTTTTCGCTCCACGGCGCTTTTTCCTTTCGGGAAAAAGGTGGGAATTTTGGCAGCGCCGGGTTAAGGATTGGGCTCGATGAGCTTCGAGGTCTTTTCCCGGACCTAAATCATCCAATTATTCCACCCAAGGTCGTGTCTGGATTCTGGCACAGGGGATGACACCGCGGGGATGGGAACGGGGCACCTTCAGCTCCTCCATCCACAGGGATGGAGGAAAGAGGGAGAAAAGCCCTTTGGAGCTCCAGCACGTGGATCCAAGAATCCAGCTGCTCATCCCAGCATCTTCCCCACTGGAAGGCAGGAAGGGATCTCCAGGAGCAGCAAGTCTAAGTCCCAGATCCAGGACATGGAGGAGACGGTTTTTCCATAGGAAAAGCATCCCAGAAGTGCTGTTTTCCTGGGAGGGAAGCAGACTGAGGAAGAGGGTGGCTGCCATGCTCCCCCTGGGCTCAGAGATGGGACAACACTGCTCAGCAAATCTTGGAATTGTGGAATGGTTGGGGTGGGAAGGGACCTTTAATGGTCATCCAGTCCCACCCCCTGCCATGGGCAGGGACAGCTCCCGCTATCCCAGCTTGCTCCCACCTGGCCTGGGACACTTCCAGGGATCCAGGGGCAGCCACAGTTTCTCTGGGAATTCCATTCCAGTCCCTCCCCACCCTCACAGTCAAGAATTCCTTCCCAGTATCCCATCTAACCCTCTGGCAGTGGGAAGCCGTTCCCTGTGTCCTGTCCCTCCATCCCTTGTCCCCAGTCCCTCTCCAGCTCTCCTGGAGCCCCTTTAGGCCCTGGAAGGGGCTCCAAGGTCTCCCTGGATCCTCCCCTTCTCCAGGTGAACATTCCCAGCTCTCCCAGCCTGGCTCCAGAGCTGAGGGGCTCCAGCCCTTGGAGCATCTCCGTGGGCTCCTCTGGACTCGCTCCAGCAGCTCCACATCCTCCTGAGGACCCCAGTGAGGGCCTGAACTCGCTGTCACCCCCTTCTCTCATCCCTGGCACAGAATGGGGGAACCACAAGATGCTGGAAAAACCCTGACATTCCATGTTTTTTGGTTTTTTTTTTTGCATGTAGGAGCCCTAAAATTCCAGGGAATTTTAACTTTTAACTTTTAAACCCATCCCGGAGCCAGCGTGGAAAACAAGCTTTTAACATCCAAGGATTTCCTATGGAAACCAGAGAACCACAAGCCTTTTCCTTTCCCTCTCTTTAGAGGAAGGATTTTCCAGGCAGGTACAACCGGACATGGGAAACATGGACACCCTGGGAAGGCTCTTCCCAGGAAACATCAGCACAACATTTACCCCAGACGAAGCCTTGGATTTCAATCCTTTTTTTGTTTGTTTGTTTGTTTTCCCTGCCTGTAAACCCCCTTTTCCACAATTCCTTCGGAAAAGCACAGGACTGCTGTTCATCCGTCCCCCTCCAGGTGTGTTTTCCAGCCCCATGGTGCTGTCAGAACGTCACCTCACCTTCGGACCCCAGGATAAACCAGGATAAATTAACCCTTTCCTTACCTTCTCTCCCATGGGACAATATCCCTTGAGGAAATCCTGGCACACCTCTGCCTTCCTGGACACGTAGACGTGGCTGTAGGGGCAGTTGCTGTTGCTGCAGATCCCTTTCAGGTAGTAGGAACACACCGGCATCTGCGAGAGAAAACCCGGCAGCGTTCCCTCAACTCCGGAGCCGGAACCGTTCCAACCATCCCTCAGCTCTGGATCCAGAACCATTCTAACCCCTCCTCACCTCTGGATCCAGAACCATTCCAATCCCCCCTCAGTTCCAGACTGGAACCATTCCAACCTCCCCTCTGCTCCAGAACCATTCCAACCCCCCCTCAGC